TAGCCCGCCTTTCTTCAAACAGCTCTCTCCTCTCATTTTCAACCTGCTTTCTCTCTTCCTCTGCCTGAACTTCAAGTTTTTGTTCAATTTCCTGACGCCTCTTTTGCTAAAAACAAGTAGTCAACTTTAATATATGTTAAAATAATCAAGGTATATTTGAATGCAGTCCAATTTTAAAAGTTATTACACACTCTGATTATGTGAAATACTATTACACACTCTGATTATGTGAAATACTACAATTTTATCATATATAGGTATCTGCATACATGTTCCACATTTTCAATTCAGGACACAACTTATTTGAAATCAGCAGTTAGCACTAGGTAGTAGTTGTGAATTGTCTTTCAGTAAATGAGGACTGAGGATTTTTGACATAAATATCTCAATTTATAAGGCCATTAGCTACAAAATCAACAACCATTTATATAGCAATAACACTTTCATCAAAAAGATGAACACTGTCTTTAAAGTTATTTGCAAACCAAAGAATCTGACATAGATCCTAACTAATAAAATAATTACTAAACTGATTATACTTCTCTCTTCTCAGAAAACTACCCATTTATTCTTCAAACATTAAAATGCTTTTAAGCCTCTTATAAGGCTTGGCACCGTGGTTCACACCTATAACCCTAGCACTCTGGGAGGCTGAGGAGGGTAGATTGTCTAAGCTCACAAGCTCTAGACCAGTTTGAGCAAGAGAGAGACTCCATCTCTGAAAACAGCCGGGGGTGGCACCTGTGGCTCAAAGGAGTAGGGCACCAGCCCCATATACCAGAGATGATGGGTTCAAACCCAGTCCCAGCCAAAAACTGCAAATAAATAAATAAATAAATAAATAAATAAATAAATAAATAAAATCAGCCGGGCATTGTGGCAGAAGCCTGTAGTCTCAGCTACTTGGGAGGCTAAGGCAAGAGAACTGCTTGAACCCAAGAGTTTGAGGTTGCTGTGAGGTATGACAACAGGGCACTGTACCAAGGGTGATAAGGTGTCACTGTCTAAAAAAGAATTTGGGCGCCAGTCCCATTTACCTAGGGTGGCAGGTTCAAACCCAGCCCAGCCAAACTGCAACAAAAAAATACCTGGAAGTTGTGGCGGGTGCCTGTAATCCCATCTACTCAGAAGGCTAAGGCAAGAGTATCACATAAACCCAGGAGTTGGAGGTTGCTGTGACCTGTCACGTCACAGCACTCTACTGAGGGCGATAAAGTGAGACTGTCTCTTAAAAAAAAAAGTATTAATCTCTTATAATTATCTTGGAATTATCATCTCCCTTTCACTATAGTTCTCCCCAGAAGCAATAACCGGGAATAATCTGGGGTTTAACCCCACAAACACAGTTTAATTAATTTTTCAAAAGAAGAACTTCTAGAAAGATGACACAGTTAAAACTACAGATGGCAAGGAACATTTATGGTTTTGTTTGTTGATGCTAAGTACTACCACCGAGTGTATAAATAAATCTGAAAAATTACAATTGTTGAACTATTTGCAAGATCAGGGAGTTCAACTCCCTTGTTTGTGAGAAAGTACTCTAAAGAAGAGGCCTAAAGAAATGTCCTAAAGACTGTCCAAGACCAGACAATGAGATTGTTACTACTGGGCTTAGACTAGATCCCAGGTTCTCAAAAGTACCAGGAAACTTTTGTAGGACCAATGTTAAGCTCACTCAATTCACAGCACCTCAAAAAACTACCACTTTACAATGTAACATTTAGGTTTCTACTCAGCTTTATTTTACCCTTGTTCTTAAATTGTTTTAAAAAACATTAATCTACTACCTTGATAAAAATATGATAGAAAACAAAAATGCATAAATACCCTTTCAGTAGCAACAGTGGATTCCTGCTTAAATTTTTGAAGAGTGCCCATCAACAAGCCAAATATTCGCCGGTTCCTAAAGAACAGCAAAAGAAAATTCAATTTCAACAGGATTCACTTCATCCAACCCTATCATTTCCCAAGAAATACTACAGGGCACACAAACAATCCTTTAATTTTTCCTAAAACTGCATTATTTCACAGAATTTTTTTTCTGACTGGGTGGATTTTAAAGATACCTTTGCTTTCCCTTTTCATCCATATTTTGATCCTGGATAAGGTCTCTACGTGTGCGCTCTTTGGAGGTAGCTACAACTGAAGACTGCAATGCTGGCTACAAAAGAAAAGTAAATCTTAGTAATTAATCTCTTATAATTGAATTATCACCTCCCTTTCACTATAGTTGTTCCAGAAACAATAACCTGTGAGTACATTTAAAAGTGTAGTAAAATTAAAGCTCTATATTCATCTACTAAGTGAAATTCTCTTAATCTTAATACCTTCTTAACATCATCATCCTCTGGGTCGCTTTCCTGGCGTGATTCTCTTCTTGTCCGACGCTCCCCGCCCAGCCTGTCATAGGAAAAGTATTTTAAATAACTGCTGCAGAATTGATATAACTGCACACCAAGATCAAATACTACTTTTCTCAGGCTTTCCAGAAAGGTACAAATTGATAATTCCCCCAATTTTATTCCTCTCTTGATTTTTACTTACAGGGAAGTGGTATATTATTCGACTCTAACACTATTTATCAAATATAAATATTTCTGCACTACCTCAGGAAACAAAGGATGCCTTTAGGAATCCTTTTTCAACCTACCTACTGACTGCACCTTCAAGGTCTCTCTGTTTGGCTGGGGGTCCTCCTCCACTATCTGAGAATCCACGCCTACAATTAAAAATGTTCAACAGTAAGCACTTGAAATATAAGAAAATTATTATTTCCATTTGGCAAGGGAATTATTTTTTAAAAAAATACTTCCATTAAGTAACCTTACATGGACATTCACTCCAAAATGCTCTTGCGGTATTTTTCTAAAGTTTAAAAATAAAGTTTGTAGAATATGGGTACAGTTAATCTATTTTTCAACTCTAGTTTTTCAGAATAACTACATTTTTCAAGAAAACTAGCCCATTGCAGCATTAACCAAATATAAACAACGTGTTACTGAGTCTACCACTAATTCTGTTCAAAGCAATACATTATTTTAACATAAAAAGCAACAATACGGCTCGGCGCCTGTGGCTCAACCGGCTAAGGCGCCAGCCATGTACACC